AAAAAAAAAAAAAGATTTTTGAAAGGATTTTCTTTTTTTAGAATTGCCTGCAAGGAACTGATTGAATCCATGAATATTTAGGAAATTCTAGGAAGTGAGAAAAACTAACCTACAAATTGTTTTCCAATGTCGTGAAATTTAACGAAGAAGTTGATTGACTAATATTATGTTTTGCACATATTTATTTAAATATTTATTAATTTAGGTGTTTACAGTTTTATTTTTGTGTTTTATTTTAATTTTTAAATATTTTCCTTATTTGAGAGATGAGAGAGAGAGAGCACGAGTAGGGGGGAGGAGCAGAGGGAGAAGGAGAAGTAGACTCCCCGCTGAGCAGGGAGCCCGATGCGGGACTTGATCCCAGGACCGCAGGATCATGACCTGAGCCAAAGGCAGACGCTTCACCAACTGAGCCACCCAGGCACCCCTTCTTTTTGTATTTTAGACTCAAAAAACTTTTCTTGGGAGTGTAACCTATCTGTAAGCACTTGGAAAGCTTCTAGCCCTAAGCCCTGTGTACTCAGGAGATAAATCAGCTCTTCTCAAGGACAACAGGGAAATAAACCCAGAAACCACAGGCCACCTAAGAACAGCCAGGCTTTACATACCATGGAGCTCAGGCTCCGGTCTTACTCCACACTGCTGCTCACTGCTCTCAGCATTCGCTGGCCACTGTCCCCCAAACATCTGCACCTAAGCCCTCGGCACCAACGTCCCACCTCCCAGATCTCTGGATCCAGGAGGGGGTAGGCTCCTAACCCATAAATCAGGATGCCTCTGCTAGGCAGCTGGTTGACCAGATGCCCGAGGCCTTGCCTTCACCTCTGGTGGCCCATCCAGGTGTGACGTCCCTCCAGTTCCCACCACCATCCTGTTCAAATAGATGGGGGCTGTTAGACTCACAGATGTGCTTTAAACTAGGATCCGTCCCACTGCGAGAGGTTCTGGTTGTAAATCAGGAAAGAGAGATAAGACCAGACTTGAGGCTCAGGAAGAAAATTGGGTAAAGCTGCTTGCCTGATGGGATAGAGGGAAGGGATTCTTAGGGAGAGAGACTGCTCAGGACTGAAAATGCTTTGAAAGTAGAGAGAGGCTGGAGAGGGCTTTGCAGAGGCGAGAGGACTCTGGAGTGTGAGTGGGGCAGAGATTGGGACCCAAAATCCGAGCTCTGTTGGAGGCCCAGACACGGAAGGGAAAGACCCATCCTGTGCACAGATAATTAGAGGTCGTGTGGCTTCAGGGCCTCTCGGGGTCCCAGACCCTCCCGGCAGCTTTGGGACTTGCCCACCCACTCCTCCCAGTGTGCGCACAAGGAGCTCTTCCTGGGGGAAAGAAAACAGGCCCTCTCTGCTTACTTGGCCCCCCAGACTCTGCCTGACACATGACACACTCCAGGAAGTCTGAGTTACATCCCCACGGGGGCGGGAAAACCTGTTTTCTGACTCCCTGTCTCCTCCCACCTTGGCTTTGGTCCCCCTTGACAATGCTCATTTGGGAAGCAGATTCCGGGATCCCGGTAGCCCAAGGGCAGATCCAGGGGTTGTCAGCTGAGTCCCCTAAGAGGCTGAATCCTTTAAGTCAGAGGCGAGATCCCAGGCTGGGGCTGGTAAATGCAGGGGTAGGTAGCTAAGAGGTTGGGTTACTGCAGAGGGGAAATGACAGGCCTCACCCCTGGCCCTTTCTGGTGCGACTCTCCCTCTCAAATCAAGCCAGGAGGTGCACAGGGAGCTGGAGAAGACATTGGACGGGGGGGTGGGGGGTGGCGGCGGGGAGATGCAGCGGTGGCTGCCTGTGGCCAGAAGAATGGGAGGAAACAGAATGGAGGGGAACCTACAGTTGTTCTGTGCTTTGTTGAGATAGGATTGACATGTCCCTCGTTCCTTTTTATGGGAGGAAGAATCCATCTACCTGTGGACGCTGAATGCCCCAGGTGCTCTCTCTCCCGGTGTCCCTTCCAGCCAGGATGAGAGCCCGTGACCGGGGGTCAGGCGGTCAGGAGCAAGCATGGACCTTGGCCCTGAATCTGGAGCTCGTGGTGAGTGAGGCAGAGAACATTCTAGCAGCACAGCAGTTTCCAGACCCAGTGGCGGCAGAGAGCCAGAAGCAATGTCTAGCATCTAGCAGTGACAGCAGTGGCCTTGGAAACTCACTGAGGCCCATGGCAGGCCCATGGCAGGTTGTTTACAGAACAACCAGTTCTGTAGCCTCTTGGGTAATTCTGAGACTACTTAGTATCCTGTAATCAATCATTTCTCTCCTTAAGTAAGTCACGGTTGGTGCTCACAGCCCGTGATTCAGAAGTTTGACACGGATGTTAGCCAAAGTCCCAGAACCAGAAAATGCCAGATCAGACGCATTTGGGTATTTAGACACACAGACCAGGCTCAAAGCCTTTAGCTGGGATCCTGTCCTTGGAAACTGGGCTGCCTGGAGAGATCCAGGAGCCAGAGGCTGCAGACCTTGGGAAGGGGTGTGGGGAGGTGGGGGTGGTGGCAGAGGGCCTGGGAGAGGCACAGGAGGCAAACTTGGTAGGGGGAGTAAGTGGGGAGTAGGGGTGGGGTGGGACTCCCAGGCCAGTGCAGCCTGGCCCACGTCCTGGCTCCAGCCTCAGCCCTGTGACCCTGTCACCAGGTTCCCCCAGCCGCAGACTCAGCAAATTCCTTACCCCATCCCAGTCTCCCCC